AAGAGACTTCTTTCAAAAACAAAAAGGAAAGAAAAAAAAAAAAAAAATAAATATATATATATATATATATATATACACACACACACACAATTAATTTAATAATTTACTAATAATAAATAAAACATTTTTTAGTAACTTATCAATAATAAATTAACCAATTTAAAATATATAATTATATAATTAAGTAATACTACTACTAATTTATATATATCATTTTAATATTTTTTTAAAAGTAATAATATTTTTTTATATTTTATATAACATTACTAATAATGTATATTTTATTAACAAAGATTTTAAGTAACATACTAATACTCTTTCTCTCTTTTTAAAATTCTTACATACTCAACTTGTTTACACAAAGACCACTCTCATGAAGTACATGGATCTGTAAGGTAACAGGGCTGGAACTAACAACTACTCTGATAATCTGTGGATTATTTCAACAATTAACTGAATAAGGAAAACAACACGACTGAATTCAGCTCAAACTCAGAAATCTGGGATTTAAAACGTACACCTGGAAATACACAAAGATTCAGTCAAAACAATGTTAGAACTAAATAGGATATATTTCAGATTCTGCACTATAGGCCTATTATTTATCAAATAATGAACTAATAATGAATGAATAATGATTATCAAATTAATTATAATTCAATAATATATCATTAATTACACATTGTTTTACAAAGATTTTAAGTAACATACTAAAACTCTTTCTCTCTTTTTAAAATTCTTACATACTCAACTTGTTTACACAAAGACCACTCTCATGAAGTACATGGATCTGTAAGGTAACAGGGCTGGAACTAACAACTACTCTGATAATCTGTGGATTATTTCAACAATTAACTGAATAATTCAACTCTGACTTCAACAAGTTGCTGCAGTCCTAATAAAAGCCCTAGAGCATGTAGTTTGTGTATTTTAAAAGTGTTTTAAAAGCCTGTAGATTATGAACAGTCAGTGCAGTAATGGACAAATGATGATAAAGAGAGTGAATGAGCTGTAAATGATCAGAGAAATGAACTGATACCATAAATAACGCCTCATGACTGACTGACTGATCTCAGTGTGAAGTTAATATGGCAGATGATGAGTTACGGTCATACTGTATGTGTTGCTCATATATATAAAAAATATCAAAATATATCCCTAGATCAAATGGGATGGACATCAGAGTATCATATTAGCCCCCAAAAAAAAATTATAATACAAATTTATTTATATATATATACAGTGGGTACGGAAAGTATTCAGACCCCCTTACATTTTTCACTCTTTGTTATCTTTGTTACATTTGCTAAAATTGTACACACACACACACACACACACACACACACACACACAGAGAGCATCACAAATTTTTTTTTTTAAATAAAATACATAAATAATACCTATAGAAAAAAACCCCCCGGAGAAAATACTAAACAGGATATCAAAACCAGACAGTTAAAAAAAATGCACCAGAATCAAGGAATGAAGAAAAAAACATTATTAAACATCAAAAACATTATTTAACATATATTATATGGAATATATAGCAGATTAATACTTGACCAGATCATTGTGTGAAACAATTAGCTGAAATCAGGAAGAGAATCTGGAAGGATTGGATTTCAGAAATGTAAAATGAAATAATCTAATGCAATGCATCAGGAGCAGGAAGAGCAGAAAGATGATCCTCTTCCTATCTTGCCCTTTCCAGAAATGAACACAGATATGACCATAACCGTCCACATCACGCCTGTCAGTCACATTATGAGCTGCTGCGTTTGAGTCATCAGAGAATATGAATACTGACATGAACAATGTCTAAAAGCAGTGTTCGAGGTTTGTGTGACCACAGTAGAAGTAGAAGTAGTCTTGGAGCTCATTTGAGGAAAGCTTTCATTATTCTCCCTTCAGTGTGTCATTCATTACAGAAGAGCCGTGAGTCATGAGTGAACGGTGATTTTATGATTGTATGAAATACACGCTGAGAGCAGACGCGAGGAATGAAGTCAGCTCAACCGATCCATTCAGCACCAAACTCAGTTTGAGATTTAAACCACGAGCTCCTGCAGACTAACACATCTTTCACTGAGCTTTCACGTCACAGGCCTTTGAATGAAACAAAATATAAAATAACAGTTCAATATATCTGCCTATTTGTCTATTTTGAGCATTATTCTCCACACTTACTGTGTCACTACCAACATCCACCAGCAGTCCTGGCAATAGATCACGCACTTTTTCTCTTTTCAAATACTTTTTGGGGGGAATTTTGAGCAATAATGCTGTATAATAAAAAAATTTTTTGTCGTTTAACAAATTTGCTATTCACATATATTGGCCACCCTGCTCTCTAGATATATAAATCACCATCAGTCATGGGAAAAAATATTTTCAACCATTTCAGTTCACAAAAATAATGTTTTTTTTTTTAACTGTATGAATTTTGAAATTAAATATATTCAAAAGTTTAGGGTTGGTAAAAAAAAAAATCTTGAAAGAAGTCTCTGCTATTCACCAAGGTTGCATTTATTTGACCAAAAATACAGTAAAAATTGTGAAATATTACTACAATTTAAAACAGCTGTTTTCTATGTAAATATATTCAAATGTAATTTATTTCTGTGATGATCTATCCATCCATCCATCCATCTATCTACTGTATCTCATATATATAAAATTAATTCCAAAGTAAATAAAAATTGACATGAAAATGATCATTTAATACAACTTATAGTAAAGAAGTTTAGGTAAATGTTAATTTTTAATCATTAAATTGCATTAATTTGTATCTATTATACATAAAATTTGTCCGGTTTTGAATTGATCAGATTTTGAATCCTAGTTAAAAACGCATAATCTTTTTTTATCATAATAAGCCTCTCATTGTATATCATGAATACTGTTGCTGTTTGACAAATTGCTTTTGTTCCTATATTGTAAGTTGCTTTGAATAAAAGCATCTAAATTCATAAAAAAAAGCACTGTTTGAGAATTATTTGCATTTCAGAGCAAATCCATAAATATTCAACACAGAGGCTGAGCCTGGCCTGAATTCCCAGAATTCCATGGGGTAAGTCTCCCGGCTTCACTCGTCACAGGTCCCGCTGTGATCAGCGCAGCTCCTTCATCTGTCAGTTACTCACCCTGAGCTGATTGCGAGGCGCTCAGTGACGAGCCGAGGGCCTGTAAACTATCCAGCGCCAGAGATCGACCGCCGCTAATGACTTTCAGCGGGAAACCAACTGCACCGAGAGCCAGATCAAGCTCAACCAAACACCAGAGCGACCGCACACGTCTCAGACCTTCATCTGCAATCCGTCAATGCGGTTTGCATCGCTTCAACAAATGTGTTGCAGACAGTTTCATACACATTTCTGCTCATATAACATACAACTATATTTCCCTTTAGAATAGTGTGTGCTAATCAATCTTGAGCATTACTGTTATACACTATGCTACTGTTCAAAAATTTGGAGTCAGTAACATTTTTAAAATACATTTTATACTTTTAGTAATTTTAAATTGCATTAAATTAATCAAAAGTGACAGTAAAGACATTTATAATGTTGCAAAAGATTTCTCTTTCAAATAAATTCCGTTCTTTTGATCTTTCTATTCATCTGTGAATCCTGGAAAATAAAATGTATCACAGTTTCCACAAAAATATTGGGCAGCACAACTGTTTTCAACATTGATAATAATCAGAAATGTTTCTTGAGCAGCAAATCAGCATATTAGAACGATTTCTGAAGGATCATGTGACACTGAAGACTGGAGTAATGATGCTGGAAATTCAGCAATCAATTACATTTTAACATTCACATAGAAAACAGTTAATTTAAATTATAATAATATTCCACAATTTTACTGTATATTTCATCAAATAAATTCAGCCTTGGTGAGCAAAAGAGATTTATTTAAAAAAAAAAAAAAAAGTTTACCAAACCCAAACTTTACACCATCACCTCAATTCCTGATGAATAGAATCATTAAATATTTTGATTCACCTGACATCACATAATGCCAATAAAATGGGTTCTAAATGCAATTTCATGTTAACCTTGCAGCAATGCAGCTGACTAGAAAAATAAATCTGTGTTAACCAGAAGTAACCTCTGCGCTGTCTCTAAACACAAGTCTAACGGCCAAGAGACCATTAGCTGTTCACTGCTATATTCTAGACTGGAGTGTGTGTGTGTGTGTGTTTAGAGATCACTGAACCCTCCAGCTGTCCATTTGCATTTCAGCTCTAATTGCCTTTTTCCAGATTTGTTTATACAACGAGGCAATTACTAGGAAATTAACCTTGTACTGCATCTTTATTCTATATGTAGTATATACAGAAAGACACCAAATCAACACATAATCTTTCCCTGTGCTTAACGAACATGGAGATATAATTTCATATAATGAAATTTAAAAGAATTATTCACTCAAAAATGAAAATTTGCTCATCCTCAGGCCATCCAAGATGAGTTTGTTTCTTCATCAGATTTGGAGAAATGTAGCATTGCATCAGTGTCTCAGCAATGGATGCTCTGCAGTGAATGGGTGCCGTCAGAATGAGAGTCCAAACAGCTGATAAAAACATCACAGTAATCCACACCACTCCAGTCTATCAGTTAACATCTGGAGAAGACAAAACATCTCTGTTTGTAAGAAACAAATCCATCATCAAGATGTTTTTTTAACTTCAAACCTTTGCCAAAATATAATCCATAATCCATAATAACGCTTCCTCCAGTGAAAAAGTGCATCTCCTGTTGTCTCTCACATCAAAATCCAGCCACATATTTGTTTAGAGCTGTTTTGACAAACTCATCTACATCTTGGATGGTCTGAGGGTGAGCACATTTTTGCAAATGTTCATTTTTGGGTGAACTATTCCTTTAAAACAAAGAGGGATCGTTTAAGGGACAATCCAGTTAGAATGTAGAAATTAGGCCAGGCGTGTTCTGACCCGACAGCATCACACCTTACCGCTGCTGAACTAATTAACAGCACCATCACTACTCTACTGATTTAACCCATTACAGGCCTCCTGATGGTCAAAACAGCTCTATGATCATCCATAAAGCATCCAGCACACTAGTTCCTATGAATGAGACTAGGACAGAGCAGAGACTCTTACCCCATGTCGTTGTAAACACACAGGATGTCAAACTCTTGTTCCTGTTCTGGAGCAACTGTTTACAGCCTGTAGGACCTGTAGGACCTGTGGGACCTGTGGGACCTGTAGGATCTGTGGGGTCGGTAATCCGCGTCTGGAGTCTTTCTATACAGTGAACATGGCATATATGTGCATGCAGCCCGCGAATGCAACAGCAGCAGCCGCAGAAACTAGACGTGATGACTGGGTCAGTTCCTCTTTCCCCCGCGGTTGTCTTCGCTGTAGTTCAGTAAGAGCACGGACTCGCGGGAAAGCCCGCCGGCTGTCACGCTCCGCGTTCTAATGCTTCCCGCAACGACTTTGATGACGCGCCGCGACTGTTACTTTGTAACCAGTTTGGCTTTGATGTCCCGCCGCGGCGGGGTTTTGAAGAGACTCGCGCGCGCCGTCCGGCGGACAGAAGCGGAGCTGCAGCATCATTGCGGCGCCTCTCGCCCTCTAGTGATTAGAGAGCGAAGATCCGTTCATCATACAGACATTTGTGCTGATGTAAACCCAATGAGACACTATAAACAGTCCTCACTAAGTGCAGTAAAACAATGGCTGCAAATGTTCATTTTTGGGTGAACTATTCCTTTAAAACAAAGAGGGATCGTTTAAGGGACAATCCAGTTAGAATGTAGAAATTAGGCCAGGCGTGTTCTGACCCGACAGCATCACACCTTACCGCTGCTGAACTAATTAACTGCACCATCACTACTCTACTGATTTAACCCATTACAGGCCTCCTGATGGTCAAAACAGCTCTATGATCATCCATAAAGCATCCAGCACACTGAGATGGACACTTGAGATGCAGCAGAACATATATTGTACAGTCGTCATGGCAACTAAAAAACCCCACAATGCTGGCCGTTTCATAAACAATATCCCACAACCTTTTTTCATGTTGGGTGTCATTTCTACAAGGGATTAATACAGTATCCCTTCATCTATACAGTCATAATTCCTGTATAATGTGTCCTACTAAGAGCAGGATAAATGGGTCACCAGGTGCTTTGTCCATTTTACAGTGATTTTTATAAGTGCATTTCTCTGTGCTGCTTTGCAACAATCTGTACTATATAATGCACTATAAAAATAAAGATGATTTATTAAATTATTAATTTAATAAATTTATTAATTAAAATTATTAATTAAAAATAAGGGCTGCCAGGAGATTCTTTAAAATTGTTGTTAGCGATCATATTAAAAATGGATTAATTAATCAGATGTGGCCCAAATATTGGTTAATTTATTTTAAAAAACACCTCATTCGAGGGTCTCTCTCAGGATCTGATAAAGACATTAAATCATGACTTACCTCTCTCTGTGCAACGGAAACATTCTTACTGGACAGATGAGGGTCTTTTTCTGCCATTAGAAATGAGAGAAAGAAAAAAAGAAAAACATTCATCCACCCGAACAAATACAGTTTAAATATACATTGAAAATATTGAGAAAATTAATGGCATATTTAGGTCAAGGTTGTGGTTGTTGTCTTCTTGATCATTAAATAATCTCATTAAGCAAAACCTAAACATCTATAACTAAATATAAATTATGCAAATAATAATTAAATATAAATATTCATTATTTTTATTTCATAAAATGTCTAGATCTAGGTGTTAAATGCAAGTTAAAATGCAAAGTGTGTTTCTGGTCACCATGCAGTTAAACCACCTTTTAGCTTTCTTGCAGGTCACTTTTAAAACGTGTTGGAAAAAACTGCATGTATAATGATCATTTGTATGCAATCATATTAAAGAATGTTGCTTACATGCATTATAGCATATCATACGGTGTCAAATACACAAATATACAACGACTATCTCCACAGTTTACTCACGAAGGACTGTCCTAAATAAATAAATATTCGCTTCGAAGCATACAAACAGTTTTCAGATAGTCTAATGACATCTAAAGTCTTTATTGTAGCATACCTGCAGTAATTAACTCTCTTTAAGTGCTCTGGTAAGTTCTTCTGGCTTCAGTTTCGCTCAGTTAAAGTCTCTTTAGTTCCTATGAATGAGACTAGGACAGAGCAGAGACTCTTACCCCATGTCGTTGTAAACACACAGGATGTCAAACTCTTGTTCCTGTTCTGGAGCAACTGTTTACAGCCTGTAGGACCTGTAGGACCTGTGGGACCTGTGGGACCTGTAGGATCTGTGGGGTCGGTAATCCGCGTCTGGAGTCTTTCTATACAGTGAACATGGCATATATGTGCATGCAGCCCGCGAATGCAACAGCAGCAGCCGCAGAAACTAGACGTGATGACTGGGTCAGTTCCTCTTTCCCCCGCGGTTGTCTTCGCTGTAGTTCAGTAAGAGCACGGACTCGCGGGAAAGCCCGCCGGCTGTCACGCTCCGCGTTCTAATGCTTCCCGCAACGACTTTGATGACGCGCCGCGACTGTTACTTTGTAACCAGTTTGGCTTTGATGTCCCGCCGCGGCGGGGTTTTGAAGAGACTCGCGCGCGCCGTCCGGCGGACAGAAGCGGAGCTGCAGCATCATTGCGGCGCCTCTCGCCCTCTAGTGATTAGAGAGCGAAGATCCGTTCATCATACAGACATTTGTGCTGATGTAAACCCAATGAGACACTATAAACAGTCCTCACTAAGTGCAGTAAAACAATGGCGTTACCATGCTTTTTTTTGGACATATTGTGATTTCGATATTAATTTGGTCAATTATGTTAAGAGATGTCGTCATTGTTTGTAAGGTAACAGTGAATTCAGAATGTAATGTAGATTAAAAAATGTGGCCATTGTTAGAAACACACACGTACGTTTTTTTCTAACAATGGCCAATTAACTTTTTCATGACTTTTACATTCTGTACATATATACACAGTGCATTCAGAAAGTATTCAGACCCCCTTCACGTTTTTTCTATTTTGTTATGTTGCAGCCTGATACTACAAATGTTTAAATTCATTTTTTTCTCATTAATCTACACTCCGTACCTCATAATGACAAAGTGAAAACAATTTTAGAAATGCATGTAAATTTATTTGAAAAAACCCCTGAAATAATCACATTTACATAAGTATTCAGTATTCAGTACTTAGTTGAAGCACCTTTGGCAGCAATTACAGCCTCAAATCTTTTTGGGTATGACGCAACAAGCTTTGCACACCTGGATTGGGGGATTTTCTGCCATTCTTCTTTGCAAATCCTCTCAAGCTCGGTCAGGTTGGATGGGGACCGTCGGCGGACAGCCATTTTCAGGTCTCTCCAGAGATGTTAGATAGGGTTCAAGTCAGGGCTCTGGCTGGGCCACTCCAGGACATTCACACAGTTGTCTATAAGCCACTCTTGCTTTGTGCTTAGGGTCATTGTCCTGTTGGAAGGTGACCCTTCGGCCCGGTCTTAGGTTCTGAATGCTCTGGACTGGGTTTTCATCAAGGCTAACTCAATATTTTGATGCATTGAGTTTTCTTCTACTCTAACGAGTCCCTGAGTCTCTGCTGCTGAAAAACAGCCCCACAGCACGAGGCTGCTACCAGCACACTTTACTTTTGGGCTGCTACTCTGCAGGTGATGAGCAGTGCCTGGTTTCCTTCAAACATGATGCTTAGAATTGAGGTTCATCAGACCAGAGAATCTTGTTTCTCAGAGTCTGAGGGTCCTTTAGGTGCTTTTTTGTAAATTCCAAGTGTGTTTTCATGTGTCTTCAACTGAGAGGATTGAGTTTGGCCACACCGCCATAAAGCCCAGATCGGTGGAGTGTTGCAGTGATGTTTGTCCTTCTGTAGGTTTCTCCCATCTGCATATATGATCATGGAGCTCAACTAGAGTGACCATCAGCTTCTTGGTCACCAGTCTAGACAAGGCCCTTCTCCATCGATTGCTCAGTTTGGCTGGACGACCAGCTCTTGGAAGAGTCCTGGTTGTGCCAACCTTCTTCCATTTGAGAATTATGGAAGCCACTGTGCTCTTGGGAACCTTTAGTGCAGCAGATTTTTTTTTGTAGTCTTCCCCAGATCTGTGCAACGATACAATTCTGTCTCTGATCTCTGCAGGCAGTTCCTTTGACCTCATGCAGGCATGTGATCAGCTAGAGACAAAAAAAAAAAAAAAAAAAAAAAGAAATTTAAAAAAAAAAAAAAAAAACAACAAAATTTATAATTTTGCCCCAAAATTAATAGAAAAAAATTACGAAATTTGAAAAATCTGAACATGTGCTTGTATATCTCATATTTGCCCCCCCAAAAAAAAAGAAATTTGAAGAATTTGAACGTGGTTGTATATTTCATATTTCACCCCAAATTTTAAAACAGCACTTATTATGAAAAATATATATTTTAGCACATTAAAAGATATATCTTATATTGTAATAATACATACTATTGTCCTGTAAAAAATAAAAAGCAGCATTTAATAATCATGATAACAGTATGATATAATAAACTATAATATATTATAGTAAAGTATATAGAATTGTTATTATTAAAGTACCTGCCAAAAGTTTGGAAACATTACAATTATTAATGATTTTGAAATAAATATCTTCTGCTCATCAAGGCTGAATTTATTTGATCAAAAAGTAAAAAACAAAAAAAATTGCAATATTGTGAAATGTTACAAATTAAAAAATTTTTTTTTTCAATTTTAATATATTATAAAATGTAATGTTATTCCCGTGATGCAAAGCAGAATTTTCTTCATCATTACTCCAGTTTTCAGTGTCACATGATCTTTTAGAAATCATTACAATTTATTTGATTCAAGAAACATTTCTGATTATTATCAATGTTCAAAACAATTTTGCTGCTTCATATTTTGTGTGGAAATGGCTCGTTTAAAAAAACAAAAAAAATCGTCCCTCAGAGGTCGGAAAATATGGAAATCCATATTTATACAGAAAAATCACATACCTACTCATGACTTGGTTTTTGCTCTAATATGCATTGTCAGCTGTGAGGCCTTTTATAGAGAGGTGTGTGCCTTTTCCAAATCATGTCCAATTCTTTTGTTTAACCACAGATGGACTCCAATCACAATCAAGATGTGGAAACATCTCAGCACTGATCAAGAGAAATGGGAGGCACCTGAGATAAAAGTGTTGTTGCAAAGGGTGAATACTTATGTAAATGTGATATTTCAGTTTTTTTCTTTTTAATACATTTACAGACATTTCTAAAATTCTGTTTTCACTTTGTGATTATGAGGTACAGTGTAGATTAATGAGAAAAAAAATGCATTTAAACAAGTGTAGTATCAGGCTGCAACATAACAAAATTGAAAAAAGTGAAGGGGGTCTGAATACTTTCTGAATGCACTGTGTGTGTATATATATATATATATGAAGTTTATTTGCAAAAAAAAAAGATAACTCTGTTTTTTTAAATTTTCAAAAATCATGTTTTTTATTGTGTTAGTATTTTTTCGTTATTTTTTACCCAAGCAAAATAACCCAACTGCAGTTTGACTGAGATTAATTGGAACGCACAATGAAAACACATGATTTTTGAAAATTGTTAAAAACAGTTATGTTTTTGCAAATGAACTTATACATGTTATTTTTTTTAAAACTCATTTAAACGGGTAAAAAAAAATTTTTTACTGTCTATGGTGTTATGGTAATAGAAACAGTATTTTTCAGATTTTTAGGTTTTATGTGTGATTGATGAAAACGCCACATCAGACCTGCTCTATCACTAACGAGGATGACACATTGCAGCAGGGAGTTTCTGCAATTAATACAAATTAATGTTACTTTGGAAAACCGCAAGTTCTTAAACTGTATTTATAGGATTTAACATTCCTTCTTTATTAAGGCTAGTACACATTATTAACAAGTGTCTCAAATCTGAACAGACTTTTGCATGCAATTTGCATTGAGCAAAGCCTTTTGTCATTTTCACTTGAGACCACAGAAATCAGGTTGTGAAAAAATCAACACATGAAGTGTGCTCCCTTACTGTAATCTAGCATACACCAGGTTAAAAATGCAATGGAAGCTTGTTTCTGCCACAGGATGAAAAATTAAGGTAATTGTGACATCTCACAATCCACCTTTTCTTGCAATTCTGAGAAAAAAGTCTGAATCGCAAGATAAAAACTCAGAATTGAAAGAAAAAGTCTGAATTGCCAGACAAAAGCCACAATTACCATTTTTATTTTTTATTCTGCGGCAGAAAAAAAAATTGTAAGATATAAACTCAGAATCCAGAGGAAAAAAAGTCAATACAATGCACAAAGCAAACTTGGAAGTGCAAGAAAAGAGTTTTGATTTTTTGATTTTTAACGTTTCAATTGCAATCATAACTTTGAATGAATTTATTCTGTGGCAGAAACAAGCTTCCATTTACAAGGCCAAAAATGTGTACACAAAAACAAAAAAAGGACAAAAATAAAAAAAGACGTTAAACTGAGAACTGCATTGGGTGAAAGAAAGCAACATTTATTCATAACGTTACAAGTAGTACATATTGTGGGGGTGAAAAGTTTTTCCACAAAACAAAATCCTGAATTATACTTCATATCCTGATGTTTCTCCAGTGTTCCTCTTCATTGCAAGTTAAAGCATATAAATGTATTGTACATTTCAGTCAAATTTGATGCAATTTTCGCAGCAGAACCTCTTCATACTCGATTAAAACAAGAATGCATCGCTGTGGATCACCTTGGCCTTGTTGTGGATGTTAGCATCTCATTGTCATCGGCAACAGTTTGGCTGACGTCGTATCAAATCTGAGCACTGATATTTACAGTTGAAGTATGAAAGGTGAAAACTAAACTGTATACAGGAATTTCAGAGAATGAGTTCATTCTAAAACGAGAGGTTAACATGAAAAAGTCGCATCGACATTTCTGCGACCTCGGTTATGAACGAATCATGATTGTCTTGTGGGCAACGGAAAAAAGAGAAAGCGAAGGATGTGAACTTAAAACGAATCTGTGCTCGATGCTATAAAATGCGAGTGGTGGTGGGTAATATCAAACAGTCAAAAGGGCTGCGAGTATGAAGTAACAGCAAGGTATAAACACTCCAAAGTAAAAGTACAAAGTTGAGGCGACTAGCATCGGTCGGAACAGATGTTAAAAGCTGCCGTAAAACTCTGAATGGGTCCGTCGAAACCAAATTAACTCGAGCAATTTCCACACTGAGAGAGGTTACGAGAACTTCACGTCAGTATGGGGGGGAAAAACAAAACTACAATCTATCACAACACAAATAATAATGAAGGAGGGCATTCTGAAAACACACACACACACCTGTTGGCGGCGTAAAACCGCCCGCTCTCACTGACATCATCATCATCCTCATCATCATCATAACAACGCAAGAGCGCAGGACGAGCCTCTTACGGTCAGACACAAAAACAGCGAGAATCTCACCTGTCTGTGCTTCACATAGGTGCGGCGATCTCCTTCCGCTTTCTCTGAGGCGCAACTAAATTCGATTCGGGCACAACGATAATATGACTGCGTCCTGACTGGACAGAATAGCAGTGGGAGGGGTTTACTGTGATTGACATATTTGTCTCATATAAAATCGAACAGCTTCAGACGAGCAAGTTTCACCTGATTGGACAGAATAGCAGTGGGAGGGGTTTACTGTGATTGACATATTTGTCTCATATAAAATCGAACAGCTTCAGACGAGCAAGTTTCACCTGATTGGACAGAATAGCAGTGGGAGGGGTTTACTGTGATTGACACATTAGTCTCAGATTCAGATGATCGCGTTTCACCTGATTGGACAGTGGGAGGAGTTTGCTTTGATTGACACATCAAATCGAACAGACCCAGATGAACGAGTTTCACCTGATTTTGACACTCCTGACCCACAGATCCCGGTGGTTTGGATCGATTTTGAAGCCACATCTAAATCAAGCAAGCGGTTCTACTTCACTGCTTTTATTCTAGTTGAACAAAAAACATTTTAAAACAGAGGAAAATAAGAAAGGATAGATCCGTCGGTCCCTCGGCAAAGGACAGAACACTTAAAAGGAATTTTTAAACATCCCAAAGCCATTTCTACCCCAAATCACCTAGCGGAGAGCGGATGAGATGTGACGGGCCCTCCGTTCGACGCGGCACCTCTACCCTCCCGGACTTCAGGCGGAAAACGTTCCTCAAAGTTGAATCGTCCTTCAGAGTGTCCTAGCACCTCGGGTTGGAGACAAGAGGCGCTCCGAAACAAAACGCGAAAACTCTTGCCGCAGGCGTCCGTTCTCTCAAAGATGAGCGGTGGTAGAACCTGAATGTCAGATGTCAACTTTGAGGGGAACTCTTACTTTCCCGAAAATCAGCTGCTCGAAAAGCGTTTATAATTACTTGAAATACGTCACCCCCTCTCTCAGCTCGTGGAGACGACAGAGCAAGCGTGGTTTTTGCAGGTAGTTTTAAGAGAACTTCATCTTGGCTCCGTCTCTGTTGGCAGGGCAAGGCCTGAGGCTGACGTCGGCAGCCAGGCGAGAGAGAGAGGAGGCCGGGAAGGGCCCCTGCGCTCCAGGAGCCTCCTCCACGTTGCGGAGTTGCAGATCGAAGATCTCGTGTTTGGTCTCCTCCTAACACTGCGTCTCCCCTCTCCTCCCCGTCCTCAACGAATGGTGGATGTAGTCCGCCACTCACACGTTCTCTTTCGTCCTGTCCAGCTTCACTCCCTCCTGTGATTGGTTTGATTCTCTCCTGTTGCTCTCACACCATGGTGCTTCAGTTGTAACAGTGGTAAACGGGCATCCATGTTTGTTCTTTTTTTATATTTACCCATATTTAAAATGCTGATGAACTAAGCTCAGCACAGGCCTAGCTCCTGTTCCAACAACCTGCGGACACAGACAGAGAAATCCGACAGCGTTAGCAATGTGGGAACTTACACACATGAGGTGTTTTTCCATTCATAAACAGCTAGACCAAAGAGCAAAATGGATCAGAATAAAAACACAAAGATGTTACTGTAAACATAATTAGCTACTGTTTTTAAAATGGAAAAAAAAAACATCAGGTTTGCAAAATGGGCTCCACGGAGAAAAGATTTTAATTTATTTGTTTTTGTATTTCATTTTAGTTAAGGTTTTAGACATTTTGTTGTGCTTTTCTTTCATTTTTATTCTTGTTTTAATTTCTTATTAATTGAATAGTTTTAATTTTATTTTTATATTTAGTTTTTAATAAAATTTTAGTTAAAGTTTTAATAACTTCATTGTTTTCTTAAATTTTTATTACGGTTTTAATTTATTACTAATTTAATAGAATTTTATAGTATTATATTTTGATGCCTATTTATTATTTATTAAATATATATTTTTATTTGCTAGTTTTAGTTTAAGCTTTAGTGATTTGTGTGTGTGTATACATAAAAAAAAAAAGAAACAGCACAGATAAAACTCATTTTATGCATTTTGGGTGTCGGCTATATAGACATCAATTACACTAAACAGATTAGTAAATTAATGCACAGTACAGTTCAAATAAGTTTGGCATCGGTAAGATTTTTTAAATGTTTGAAGGAAGTCTCTTCTGCTCACTAGGACTGCATTTATTCGATCAAAAAATCAGTAAAAACAGCAATATCATGAAATATTTTTACAACTTTTCAATTTGAATACATTATAAAATGTAATTTATTCCTGTGATGCGCAGCTGAATTTTCAGCATCATTACTGCAGTCTTCAGTGTCACACGATCTTCAGAAATCATTCTAATATGCTGCTCAAGAAACATTTCTGATTATTATCAATGTTGAAAACAGTTGTGCTGCCCAATATTTTTGTGGAAACTGAGATACATTTTATTTTTCAGGATTCACAGATGAATGGAAAGTTCAAAAGAACATCATTTATCTTTTGAAACATTGTCTTTACTGTCACTTTTGATTAATTTAATGCGCCCTTACAGAATAAAAGTATTAATTTCTTTAAAAATGCATATCTGACTCAGTAGTGTATGCTTGGTCTTTTAAGATGCGTGTGTCGTCTTACACTCTAGTACTGTGAGAGTCCAGTCACTCCGTGTTGATATGCCCGTTCGCCCTGGTAGGTGGAATCCTGGGAAAGCGCCACGTCCATCTGGGATTTGAACTCATCACCCAGGTAGCTGTCCTGTTTCACACAAAAGACAAAAACAATATGTAAAATTACAGAATTAACAAAACAAGGTCACTTTAACACAGACTCAAGAGGCTTATATCTCATATAAAGGCGTGAACATCCCACACAAATGTGAGCATGTGTACCTGTGAGAGCTCAGGCTGGGACAGTCCAGGCTGGCTCATCTGTGACGGCTGGCTCATGGTGATGTAGCCCTGGGTCAGTGGACCCTGAGAGAAGGGCTGGGACACCAGGTCCTGACTGGCCTGGCTGCCTGGCATGTTGGCCTGCCCGCTGCCGTGATTACCGGTGCCACGGTTCCTCTGACGACCTCCACGACCCCCGGTCTTACCTTTAGGAGCACCACGACCTGTAAACAGACAGAGAACCGATTAATATCGTATTCCTGATTCAGTCCTGCTTCACCTCTTGTCACTCCATCCATAGCTTCTTTCTATATCTCTTTAAAAGTAGCTAATAGGGCTGGGTGGTATATCGAGTTATTACGATATGTGACCCTGGAGCACAAAAGCAGTCTTAAGTCGCTGGGGTATATTTGTAGCAATAGCCAACAATATATGTAGAATTTTAAACTTACAAGTAAATGTATTTTTATGATAGCACTGATTGTAAAGTGACTGTAATGGGTTAATCAAAATAGCCTAATACTAGTCTGTGCTTTTGCTCTTATTTATTTTCATTTTTAGTTCAGTGAATTTAACTTCTGTTTTAAAAGCATTATTTTTTTTTTTTTTAGATTGTAATGTTACAATGCTAGAATAAAATGTGATTTTGACCATTTTTTGCACATAATATATAGGCTTACATTGTTTTTTATTAGTTTTCATAGCATTTAATATGTACTGTTTCGTTGGACAACATTGAGCGGTATGTAAAATATATATATTAAATACAGATAAAAAAAAAAAATAAAAATAAAATCCAGATACAAAAATGAAAATACTGAGATATATACCGTAGATCACAAATCGGCCAAAAATACAGAGATAGGAATTCTTGCCCATATCGCCCAGCCCTAGTAGCTAGAAAAAGGCAATACAAAATGCTGCAACAAAAAGTAATGCTAGTCAAGGTTTCTTGTTCAAAAAGCAGTAGTTTAGTGTTCTGGAGTTTTCTCTCACCAGCAGCAGGTCCGTTCACCTGGCCCAGGTACCCAGGTGGAGGCATGGGAGGCATGACCAGATTGAATGGGATGGGGATGTTCATGGAGCCCATCGGGTTCGGCCCAGTCCCGATCATGCCGACCTGGTCATGGGTCTGGAAGTACATATTAGATGGACGCCCTGTAAAGACAGACAAAGCAGTGACAAATTAAATATGTATTTTTCCACAAATAACCATTTCAAAAGCAACTCATCATTAAACAACGGTGTTATTTGACTATCATTTGTATACCATTACAATTTTTGTTCATATTTTGAATTAGATTATATTTTTATTTTTTATATTTACGTTAAAATTTTTATATAAAATATAGTTATATAATTTTTATTTTTATATTTTTTGTTTTCTCGTCATTTTTTATTTATTTTTGTTTTAAATTTAGTTTCGTCTTTATTCATTTTTATTTATTAGCTTTAGTTTATTTAGTTTTAAATAAGTTTACCTTTTTCATATTTTATTTCAATTACTTTTTTTTTTATTTTAAGTGACTTTTTTATGGTTTCAGTTTTAGTTAACGTTAACAGAATAACACTGGATTCTTTTGGTTGATGCTTAAACTAACCAATTAAATTAGTTTGATCATGTTGATCAACAAGAAAAATACCAAATAAGAATTTTATTTGTAAATAAGAAACTAAATTAGAACTAATCCACTGCAACTGCATTGTATTGAGATGTGAGAAGTAGTATGTGATTGCTTTCTCACCGGTGCTGCTGCGATCATACACGGATCCAGGAATCATGGCCTCTCTCGCGTCATACATGGCGGTACTCATGAAACGGGCTCCCTGAAAAACAATTTCCATTATTAGCAGAAATATTTTGTGACTTGTGTTTTTTTTTTTTCCTTATTTGAAACTTCTTTGTTACCTTGATGGTGAATGTAATGTTATAGATGCATACAAGCACTAATAATGCATACTGTAATAAACGCAATTGCAATTAACCAGCTTTGCATGCACAAAAAGCATGAAAAGACTATTTCTGCGCCAGAAGTAACCCTGATTTGTGTGCGTGTTACTCACAGGGTTGATGGTGTTGACCAGCTTGCGTGGTTTGCTGAACTGCATGAGGCTCTCTCTCAGGTTGTTCAGCGGTCCTTCCACCAGAACCTTCTGCTCCTTGTAGTAGTTCAGCAGGTGGTTCCACAGAGGCTGCTTGGACAGAGCCTTAGGATTGCCCACAATGATCACGCCATATCTGCACACATACACATTTGAGCACATGACTAGAGCTATCCACCTACATTTGTTATTTATTCACACATTTTACTTGAAGCAAAACATACTGTAAATCAGTTTTTTTTTGTGTGCAAAAATACATAATATACAATGTACTGTATATACAGGTGCATCTCAATAAATTAGAATGTCGTGGAAAAGTTCATTTATTTCAGTAATTCAACTCAAATTGTGAAACGTGTATTAAATAAATTCAATGCACACAGACTGAAGTAGTTTAAGTCTTTGGTTCTTTTAATTGTGATGATTTTGGCTCACATTTAACAAAAATTTTTTAATTTTGTTAAAACAATTAAAAGAACCAAAGACTTAAACTACTTCAGTCTGTGTGCATTGAATTTATTTAATACACGAGTTTCACAATTTGAGTTGAATTACTGAAATAAATGAACTTTTCCACGACATTCTAATTTATTGAGATGCACCTGTACATAATGTTTTGCAAAAATACACATTTTCCCCCCCAAATTCTGTTTTCCATTTAAATGTTTCTATATTCCATTTTAATAACCAAAAAGCATGTCTAATAAATTTAATTCATAAAAATGTTACAATTTATTTACATTTTTGCAATAATATTGCTTTATGAAATGTGTCATCTAAGAAATTCTGTTGTCTATTTTACTTTTTCTGGGTTTTATGTTTTACAATTAAAAGCAAATTTATTATTAGAGACAATCAAATTTAATTTAAATGATTAAAATCTTTTTTTTTTTTTTAAATCAAATGAACATTTCCTTTTATTTCTTGACAAAGTGCTGCACAAAAAAGGTTTACCGTTTAAATTAAAACATTAATAAAAATGTGTGATTTTTAATACATATTTAATGAAATACATTATTCTTTATTACTACTTAAAGAAGCACATATACTCTACAAAACATAATTAATGTCATATAACAAAACATAAGAAATGTAATTGTCATAATTTCTTCAAATAAAACCAAACTTTTATTTTGGTGGGTTGTAGTGAAGACCTTTGAGTTTTTGTGTGTATCTGACCATAGTTTTCTCAAATTAAATGGTGAAATGCTGGTGAAGTGACTCTCAGAGCAGCTCTGGAGAAGTTTGTGTGTTCATGTCCTCATATATTGAGACGACAGACACTGAAAACACCACAAGCATCATGTGTGCTTCAGTGTGAGTAGTAGATGAAACTGAGACATGCAAAAACAGATCAAGTTTATAGCCCTATTTTTGATTTATTCTGCCAAAATTCGCCATATTCTGTGACATTCTGTTTTATAAAGTAAATTCCATTTTTATGACTGGAATCTGCAATTGTCTGTGTTAAACATGTTAGTTTAAATGCATCTCTGCCGTGCATACAGACACCTGAATGATACTGACTGTAAAATGAGGTGTAATAAATTACTGCACCTTACTCTAAGTCTGCTATTGTTACCTGGCTCTGGTTAGCGCCACATTGAGACGTCGTGGGTCATTCAGGAAGCCGATGCCCTGGTGCTCGTTAGCTCTGACACAAGACAGGATGATGAAGTCCTTCTCTCTGCCCTGGAACGCATCCACGCTGGCGATCTCCACCTCCTGTAGACACACACAGGCATCAATACATCACTGACACGCTGCTGTGTGATACTGGATGTCCAACAGCCATTAAAAACTTCCAGTACTAGAGCAATAACAATCTTACACCAAAATGTGCTTTTCTTGACACCCTAAATTGCCACAGTGAGTGTCTAGAGCAGTGTTTCCCAACCGGGGTGCTGTCTGTCGAGAGCAGGGGTGCAGTGTAAAAAAATCATTTTTTAAGATTTTTAAATTGCTAAAATGTTCAAAAGCATCTATTGTATAATATCCATTTCTGATGTTGCCAATAATTAGAGATGCACCGAAATTCCGGCTGCTGAAAATGAGTTCACCATAGCTTTCTAGGACTAAATATTATTTGGATATAATTGGTAAAAAAAAAAAAAAAACTAAATTCCTTAATAGCCCTACTGTTAGACCTACCTGAAAAACTAAAAAGCTATTTATTTCATTTGTATCGTTATTATTTTTTGTGCTATCATTAGTATCATTATTCAATTCAAAGTTTGAAATCAAGCTATCTTGTGCTACTGCAACAAAATTACCCCACTGTAAAATCTTGAGTGAGCAAAAATTTGTGAGATAGCTAGTTATAATGGTAATTAAACAATGTTTACATATAAATAAAAGCCTACATGAAAATCTGTCATATAAATTGGTCTCTTCATTAGAAATTAGCCTACTGATTGCCACCATTGATGGACAAAAAAATTAAATAATATAAAAAATATCTGTATTACAGTAGCCTATATTCTGCAGTTCTTCCCTGCTGTACCGAATATCTATACTTTTCAAGGTATCATATCAAAGTTAGAAATTCAAGTATTGTGACAAAATAAATTTTGTAGGGTGCCACAAATCTGTTAAAATTTCCAAAGGGTGCCGCGGCTAAAAATTTTGGGAAACACTGGTCTAGAGTACACTTATGCAACAGAATGGCTGAAACCAGTCTGCAGGGATGTTTGCAGGTGTTGTTTGGACTCTGTACCTGGTATAGTTTGGTGTGCAGTGAGCCGCTGAACTGCATGTACTGCACCAGGTAAGAGCGCTGGCCCTCGTATGGTGTAATGATGCCGATCTGGTCGGGTTTGGCTCCGGCCTTCAGCAGACGGGTGGTGATCTTCTCCACATTAGCAGCCTCAGTCCTGAACACAGAGAGAAGATTTTATCAGACCGGCCCTTTGAATGAGCTTCATCTAATGCTGGTAAGGAGCATTTATGAATAAGCTTATGAATTTTCAAAGGTTTCTGTTCTTCCAGTAGTCTCACATAACCAGACTTTTGACTGATGACATAAATTCACTTATACAAGAAGAGGTCAACTGACCGACATTTTATATGTATATAAATTAGGGATGTAACGATTAACCGCGAGCTGGTTGAAAATCGATTCAAATATGTGACGATTCAAATCGGTTGAGATGCTAAACAAATCGCGATTCATTTAGGGGTAGTTTATGAATCCATGTCTGAGGGGAACGTGCTGTCTTTAGAAAAGTTTAGATGCAGGGC